CTTTTTAACAGCAGTATACTTTTAAACCCGATACACTGAGAGAATGGACAACATAACAACTTGGCTATTACTCAACAGGGTCACCTAAAGAAAAGATCCTAAGATACGCCGAAAAAAAAACTTCATTTTTCCTTTCTAGCTAGGAATTTGGTCAGTAGACCAATAACTATTCAAAAGTAATAGGTAGGTTACCGAAAAGTCTTGTGACGGTCAGGTGATCTGTACCCCCCCCCCCCCCCCACTCGCCCCTCTTCCATCTCTCTTTTGCAGTTAAATCGACCGATGAAAAGAGATAACTCACCTGACCAGCTAAGGCAGCCGAAAGGGCAATGATTATCAAAATATTGAACATGGCGGAACTGAAAAAAAGAGAGAAAATACAGGCTTAAACACGATATAAAATGAAAAACTCTGGAACATTTTGTTAATCTTTGTTCAATATGTTCACAATAGCTTAAATGCTATTCATAAATATAAATTCTATTCATAAATACAACTTTCTATTCATAATCGAAATAGGTAATTAAACTTTAAATTCTTGCTTTTTTCAATTGATGAAATAATGTGGAGAGAGGGAGTCACCGGAATGCATCAGAATGGTACCACGCAAAATGATTTTGATTTAGCCAAATCTCAAAACTCATTTAGCCAAAAAGCAATTACTGAAGGTGGGGCTTAATGACCGTTTTTCCTGAACACATTATGTTTCTAGGTATTCTTCAAATACCATACATGTCGGACAAACCTTATCGATATTACTTCTTTTAAGTTATCATATAGACCATCTTGTTTTAATCTTTATTGTTTTACGATAGATTATGGGAAACAAATACTGTAATTTTCCTAGCCTTATGTATTTCCCTTATTGCCTTACCGTTTAAATTTCATTCAGACGGCAAACCCGTAAAATATTAAATTCTTTTGAAACGACGCCATGAGTAATTGATGCTTGGTGAAAATTAGTGACAATACAGCATGTGTCGTATTTGTACTTCAGAGGGAAGTTAGCGATTATCTAACGTCACTTTGAAAACATGGAAATATATGTGATATAATATTACATGGACATATCGATTTACCAGTGCACGAAAATTGATATTGATTTTTCCATTGTGATAAGTAATAAAGTGTCATCTCGAAACATCGACTTCACTAGAAATCACTAGGCATTTGTTACCTCTGCTACACTTTTTTTTTTCTTTTTGAGGCAGACGTGTTGTTTGCAATAAAACTGGCGATACTATTAGTAGCATGCATCTACATCGTTGATTTGTCGATGGATGTAAGCTTAGCCTAATTCTAATATAAACTGGGTCCAAATGAAAACTACATCAAAAAGTCAGCTTCACTACTCTTTGTTTTGTTTAAAAGATAATTAATTGTTGAAAGCCTACGAATGGAAAATTTACCCAGCAATTGTTCCAACTCCAACGTCATTATTGTCTGTGGCGAGACCAACGATAGACGTGAACAGTTCAGGAGCAGACGACCCGGCGGCCATGAAAGTTGCGCCAGCGACATCTTCCGACAAGTCTAACTTTTCAGAGATGATCTCGAGAGAGGGAACGAAGAAGTCATCGCAAACTATGGCAAGCGCTGTAAGAGATAAATTAGATTATGTTTAATAAAATGAAAATGGTCTGCGCTACATCATCATGTGATGAGCATATGCAACTCACAGTGTGTGTGTGTGTGTGTGTGTGTGTGAGAGAGAGAGAGAGAGAGAGAGAGAGAGAGAGGTAAAGAGAAAGAGGGAGTGGCTTAAGCCCCCTTTACACTGGACGACGTCCTTTCTGCGTTCCGTAGTGCGACCCCGCTTTAAGAGTTAAAAATAATAATATAACGTGCCGACAACTGGCCAATCATTGAGCATTCATTCTGCAACCAAAGCGAAACTTGTGCCGCCTTTCTACGACCACAGCGATGCCGATTTCATGGACCCAGAAATGACGCCGTCCAGTGTAAAGGGGGGTTTTAATGACTTAGTGACAGGGTAAGAATGAAGGAAGCATTTTAATGGCATGGCCAACGAGACAAAATAATGAGAGGGAGAGATTTCAGATGCCATCAGTCTTTCGATATTATCTCAACTGTGAGTCAATTGCATTCGTGTAAAATCAAAACCGCCTTGTGGCTACTGCCGATTGCTTCCAATTCGTTAAAAATCATCTCGTCTCTCAAATTAGCCCAAGAGTATATTATATTTTCCCTACTGGCCATTGGCAGTGATGTTATCAATACCAAGAGAAACAAATTTTGATGAATAGCCAAAATCACCATGTTATCCAGATCGCCGTCCTGTTAAAATGCTTAGCTTTCTGTCTCTGATAAAAATGGCAACTAGTCAAATTAGCACGTTCTGTTTTTAAGACGTTCCAACGCACCTTTAAGGCAACGCGCATACTGCTGATTGTAATGAAAACAGAAATAAAGGAGCACATGTTATAAAATGTCTTGTGCATCAAAGTCGCATGTTAGTATACACATGCTAAGGCATAAAGGTACCATGGTTAATATCGTCATTACAATCGTGGAATTTTCTACATTATTTCAATTTATCTTCATTGATTTATCTACACACATAGTATCTACTCAACAACGTCATGTGCAGCTGGTTAGAGCATTGTTCTTAATTAACATCATTTGCTCTGAATCTTTAATATAGGGTGAACTGATTTGTGCTGTCCTAATTATTCACGATATGAACAATATTCATCATTTGCCCAATGCCTTACTGCCCTAGTTTGCTCTGAGACTAACAGATGCCAGTATTATTTGCCACGTTATACTGGAAAGTGGATGTTTTTCTTAGGTGTGTTTTTACTCTTCCACGAAGTATTTCCACTTCCGGACAAATTTTCGGATAAGCAATTAAGATAAACTAATTTTAGCTCTGCTCATTTAACATTTAACACACCAAGCGGGGAAAATACTTTGAAAATTGACACACAACAAAAAAGCGCGATGGACATGTCGTTGTCTTGGATTTACGAATGAAAAGCCATAACATGACAGTTCATGAAGTCCGCCTTAATCCCAAAAGGGGTTTGAACAGCAAGGAAATTTGCACATGGTAATGCAGCCTCAATGCAACCGGAGTCCAATACGATATTTTTCACATAAAGGTCTATAGAATTAAAAGCCTCTCAAAATCAGGCTTTATAATCAAGTCCCTGTATTGTTTTGCCCTTAGGGATCTCCCATTTGTCTAAATTCAAATTAATTATCTTCTAAAATATAATCGATAGCGCTCGGTTGCCGTGATAGTCTAATTTTAGAACTTTGATCGCAATCATGAGAGACTCCGGTCATATTTAAAGGTCAGAGTTTTCAGGAGCGCCCTGAAAAATCGTTCGTTCGTTCCCATTAATGTGGCGTTTGTCATCTTTCCAATTGGTAGGTCCATGCCACAGTATGAATCACATTTAGGTTTAAATTAACCTTCCGATTAACAAAGTTATCAAAACATGGCGGCATCTGAAACATCATTCAAATCAATTTGGAGGTGATCGCATAAGCAGCCTAACACCACGAATTAATGAAAGTAAAGCAAATAAATAAATAAATGGATATAATAACAAAATCATAACGAATATTTAATAATCAATTTAACAAATAAATGTATGACAATGGGAAAATGTTTCAGGTTGGTAAGATTAATGCTAAAATGTCCTCATTTGCAATTCTCTCGTTTGACAACCTGCTCTATCTGATCTGATATGCGAAGGGTTACAAATCTCGGCACATCTCTATAGCCCTACAGACTTCTCCAATCCGTAATCCGAAGCAACGCCGATCGCTTAACTGTGATTCTTAATACTCCCAGGTGGCGAAGTGAAGTGCCTGGATATCTAAGGTGTCTGACATTCTGTTCTAGAGAAAGAGTGTACTATAACGGAATGTTTTCTCCAGTTAAAAGTCGTGTTCGCAACTCGTTCAAATGTCGGCGTTTTCTAGACAGTAGTTTGCGTGAGATAGGCTTTATCGTGGATATCATATTATTCGTGGATTTCTTTGGTTTTAGATGTCTTTCAAAAGTACATGTTTGGTAACAGAGTGTTACTTAATTTATACAAGCTATACACAAGGCGTTTGGCCTTTTATCAGAGAGAGAGAGAGAGGGAGAGAGAGAGAGAGAGAGAGGATAAGACAAATATATAGGCCTATTTTCTTGTATATCTCACCTGTGAATGACACAATGATAAGAAAGAAGTAGAATGCTACCCATAGTCCTGGAAGGCCTTGTAGTTCCAATTCACAATGCCTTTCATGCTCCTTGAACGTGCTGTTGGCCGACGAATTATCGGATGACACTGATAATAAATGCCTAGACTTCCACTGGCTTCCTGGAAAACAAATTAACCGTTCGTGATAAAAATAAATGAACCAAATTTCTCGTTGATGGGAAGCTCCCTTATTAACTCCCTAAATGATTAAGACAACGTACCCTATATTAAACTTATTTGTCTTGAAGATTGGATCTACGCCCGTTGTACATATATTTAGACTCGTGCGCACGCTGTTGGATTTCTCACAGTATCAGTTCTAGTTAAGACGTATAAAATGACTTTAATGGAAACAAATGATTACATTCTGTTCAGCAGGACCGGGTTGCCTGAGCGAAGTGAAGTTACAGATAACGCGCCCATATTCACAGAAACGCATTTCAATGCAAACACTTACCTGTATCTAAGCTAAGACTAGCGTGACTCTTGAGAGGAAAAGAAAATGTTCCAATGACTGCTAAGATAAGGATAAAACTGCATATCCTTCCTATACTTCTATGCCTAGAGATCATCTCTTTCCTATGTCCTAGCATCGTGTGCCACCGTGTTTTCCATTTGTGCATACTCATGCTGAAAAAATAAACAGAATCCGATTTCTTAAAATTTACGACACCTACCAAGAAGCGATATTTACAATTTCAGCCTTCCATTCCGTTTCACTGGTCTGCGTAACCTTCAGCAGATGCTCGCCGCATTAGAGGCAGCTGATTTCTACGGGCTGGAAACGAAATATCATCTACCTTTTTAAATTTTCCTGTCGATGAGGGTCATATTAAACACGTAGGCGCTTAATATCCCTCGTGTGTCTGTTTGCGAGAGGCTCAAGCGTTAGTTAGAAAGTGGTAACCACGTCGTGACGGTTAGCGCACATCGCCGCGTTATTGCGCAACGTCAGTGACGTTTTAACGTCCTGGTGACGTCAACAATGACAATAAGGTCATCAGTGACGTCATAAAACAGCACTGTTACCAGAATAAAACAAAATTTTTCAGTAGCATTAAATACATCTTGCAAAAATTGGCATTTAAACAGAGACAACAACATTTAGCTAAATTAATATTTTAATTTTAATTAATATCAAAATTAATAATTAAATTATTTTTTCTATTGCAGTTATGATATACAGATAGAAAGACCACAAAAGAAAGAAGACGATATAACAAAAAAAAAAAAAACTGTCATTTATAAATCATTGACACAAGTATGTGGAAGTAGGCCTACGTGAAATTATTCTATCAGAGAGGCACAAATTGCTTGTCAGCATAGTTTTTATAGCCATTTTTAGTACTAAAAAGCCTACGTAGGCTATCAGCGCACGCGAGACATAAAACTACCGTACTAGGCCCATTAACAGTACATCTTTGTCGAACTACCTCCTTTGAAAATCTACGATTATTGTTAACGGTTCGTAAAAATCGATATTTACGTAGTGGAAAAGTAAATCGTTTTTAAGAAGTTAAGCCTGTTTTCTTTGCTTTTTAAACCTATGAAGCATGACGTTAATGAAGAGCTACCGTGTCAAGCCTTATGAGTAAAACTGCACGTTGAGTAGCTGTAGAAACGATTTACTTGTTCGCCATTGCCATACAGACGGCAATGGAAAGCCTGATCACCCCATATTTATTTAGCAACAGCGGCATAAAAACATTGGGCAGGCGATTTTCAAGGATAAAAAAAAAACAAAGTTGCGGCAAGAAAACCCTCACAACATGTTTTCCATCATGACATATTACACCAGTAATCCACGTATATACTGTTTACTTTTCATAAATAAATGGATAAACTTTCCTACGCCCTCTTTTCAGGACAAAGAAGTAACTAATATATTTGGCCACGACATGCAAATACCAGTATTTCAAATATTCACGCGTCAACGGACAGAAACCTGATTTGAAAAGAAAGCCTTGCCAAATCATGAAACAACATATAAGGTTTCCTTTCATCTTAGTCATTCATCCTTTTTCTGCGCGTTACGTCTCACCTACAAAAAAGACAGTAAAATAACCCGCCGTTCCCTTACCTAGTCAACATCAGTGCCTTTCAAGATAAATTACTTCCAATTTCTAGCTGTTTACTGGTTCTCCACAGGTAGAAATCTATCGGAACCACAATCCATCTCCGAGGGTAGACCGAGCTTCTTTTTTGCACGGTGAAAAAAAAATAAACACTGCGGCGGCGTTTCTACTAATTAGCGTAATCTCGAGAAATGTTTAAATGTTTTTAAAAACGTTTTGACATAACAAATAGCACAGTATTTTCCTCACAATTCACCTCGTACAATAACTGAGTTATGTTGTTAAAGATAAAAAGCACTTACATCGTTTTCTCCGTTTGCGTCAACAGGAAGGTTGAAACAGATTCCCTTTTTGTTTAACTGATAATCTTCACTTAAGTTAGAACTCAACGTTTCTTCCGATTTTTCTCCCTATATGTCCCCCTTGCGACATCTGTGAAACTAGCCAAACACTTCCCTACCGCCAAGTAATGCAGATATTGACCATTACTTGATCCTCGTGTTCTACTGATCGATTTTCTAATGGTCCGTAGGTTTTTCTTTGAACTCTATAGTAATTACTAAGATTTCTGAGGTTTATGAGTCGAAGGGGATTTGTCATTCAAGCGCGCACGAGAGGCGCTCAACAATGGCACTGAAGTGTCGATCGAACCATCGCTACAAATCATATTCTTCTTTAAGACTCATATAGGCCTATATATANATCCTCGTGTTCTACTGATCGATTTTCTAATGGTCCGTAGGTTTTTCTTTGAACTCTATAGTAATTACTAAGATTTCTGAGGTTTATGAGTCGAAGGGGATTTGTCATTCAAGCGCGCACGAGAGGCGCTCAACAATGGCACTGAAGTGTCGATCGAACCATCGCTACAAATCATATTCTTCTTTAAGACTCATATAGGCCTATATATATCATTGTGTTGTGTAATCAAATGAAGTCCTAGTCGCAAATAGGTTCCTATTATTTGGTTATATTCTTCTTTAAAAGACACGTATATCTATGTACGTTGTGTAAGCAAGTGAAGTTCTGTTCACAAAGATTATGACTTAAATGTCCTAAGTTGAAGTTCAGGAAGAAGGTGAATTGATAATGAGCTTCCTCTGTGTTATCCCTTACGTTATCCGTTATCCATTCCTCCCCTGTTATCCGTTATCCATCCCTTTTGTTCTCTCTTATCCATCCCCTCTGGCATCCCTTATCCACTCATCTGCTATCCCTTATTAACCAGTTATGAACCTCTTATCCAACGTCTTTGTTACAACTATTCAATCACCTATCCCTCTGTTATCCCTTATCCATCATATATCGCTTCTTTTATCCCCTATCCATTACATGTTATCCCTTATCCATCCCCCTCCCTCTCTGTTATCCCTTATCCATCACGTATTATCCCCTCTGTTATCCCTTATCCTTATATTCCCTGTCCTTATGTTTCTGTTCAAAGCATATACGTGTAGGGAGTTGCCATCAAGCCTCTGCGACCCAAAAGTGAACTGTACGCTTGTAAGTTAAAACCTTTGGGAACAGGGCTTACTATTAAGACCCTTTTCCGTGATGCTCCACTTTTGAAGGCATACCTCACCTGCGATCACTTTAGACGGAAGGTAGGATAATCAAAGTTAAGCTATTGTTTAGTGAAAGTAATTGCAATAGCAGTGGTCGACCAATAAGGTTGGATATGACAGCGAGTTAGAATAAATAACACAGATAGAAATCCACGATAAACGCATATAAAGTTTACTGGCATTTTTTAATGACAGAGGTGACACGTTTATAAATAGAACGCATGCAACACGCAGGATATATCAATTTCTTGAATTTAAAATGCCAGCTTATGAAAAGGGCAAATATTTGCATCTATATGATATTCCGGTGACCTTTTGCTCAATCCTTTCTACCGGAATTGAGAATTCTTTCAGCCAAAAGCTACGCCCCCCCACCCCCGTTACTTAAATCCACGGCCAATCCCTTAGAAAAAATTATTTTCAAAACTATTTACGTGGTGAAAATTGGCTCAATGCATACGTATAATATTGCATCTCGTGACTTCTTGATGCCAATAACCTAATATTTAGGACTTCCATGAAATTTAGATAAACAAATCGGGAGTAGATGAATCCTGCTAACAAAACAAGTTTTATGAGTCATCAGCAGGTACGATTCACGTGTTTTTTCCAACTCCGAGGAAAGTGTCTGTTTCCTGTTCTTAAAACTGCGATTTTCATTAAATTGAAAAAAAAAAGGAAAAGGAAGCAGAGAAAAACACTCGATCTGATAATTAAAAAAAAAAAAAACACTCGTTGACGTTTCATCCATATGCCTCATTAGAGAACTTCAGCATGATTTGAATCCATGAAAATAACAAATAACATTTTGGCAAGGTTTTACCGACATATATATATCACCACCTGCTTTTTCTACATGGTTAAAAATGATACGGTGGGTTAACGTCCTTATTTGAAGTTACCTCATTGTGACCTTACCTAGACCGATGAGCTACAAGTGCAATTAGATTGTTTTTCTCTGTTATTGCAAGCCGTCACCAAACAAAATTAAAACAACATTTTGATTTCCCTTTAGAGTTAGGTAATTTCTAGCTGCACAAGCAGGTTTATTCGCTGGAAGGGCAGTCCCGTCTCTGAAACGCAGCAATTTGTACTCTTAGCATTCCTTATTGTGTCTATCAACTGAAATATTGACCCCGTGTTTATTGCATTATGATGCCAACGTCCTTTACGGTAATACGCAGACAAAGGTCGTAAACTAAGTCTTAAATATATGAATCAGGCAATTTGCACCAGTCAATTGAGTGGTATATTAGGATAATAGTGTTCTGAGTACAAAATAGCTTCAAATTAAACGGGCTTGGTTCGTCGTTCCGTGTTCAGAAGATCAAGTCCGTATACCAAAGACTTATAATGTATGTGACAGATGTGTCTCTCTGGAATCTTAATCTTTTTCTGCAGGTAAAATCTGCCATAAGTAGGAGACATGTACAGACGTCTGACTGTGATAAATTGAAGCTTTATTATCATGCTATGATAAGGTAATGTTTTTATCAACCTCAGAAAGAAAGAAAAATAACAATACACAAATAAATGATAAGAAATACCACACGCACGTGCGCGCGCACACGTGCTTATATCCTATGTGCGTGTGTATTCCATACGGCTAAATTTTTATCTAACATCAAAATATTGAATATTAATAAATTAAAATATTTCTGTGGTGAATGTCTGCCAGATGCAAAGAAAAAAATTAAGAAATGAAATAAAGAAAAAAATTCAAAGAAAGAACAGCGTCTGCTACAAGGCACGGGAATGTCTCTCTTTTATCCGTGTAGATTAA